TGCCTGCCCTGAAAATAGACACTGGCAAATGCACAGTACTTGATGGCTACAAAGATTCAGTAGTGTATGACCATTATTAATTTTTCCCCCACTTTCTGTTGTGGTCAGCACCAAGCAGCTATACTGATCCAAGCCATCCTCAAAATTAATTGAAATACCAGTGCACACTATTGTCACATTCATGCAGGCAACTTTAAAGAGAGTTAATTTTAAGCCAGAATATAAAAGATATAGGGTAAGGAATTTTTAGCGCTTGGTTTTAGGACAAAGGACTCTGCCATGGTTGGATTCCTAGAATGCAAGACGATCCCTTTTGGTATGATAGGGCAGTGTAGGCAGAGCATCAGACTCGGACACCAATTTAGAGGGTATACCAGAATGGCAGCCAAAGAAAAGTGTGGGGTCCTTGACCCCTCCTCCCTCTACTCTCCTCAGGATACTAAGATGGCTAGTTATGCCTCTGGATACAATATATTCAAGTATGATCATCAGGGACTAGAAAATAAAAACAAATCCAATTTGAAAAGCATCTATTTGCTGCTGGCAGACAAGGTTCTTTGGGTAAATCTGATATCTTTTATTAGACCAACTCAAATAGTTAGAAAAATTCTTCTTAGCAAGCTTTTGGGTATAAATACCCTTCGTCAGGCTGAGGAAGCATCTGCAGTTGGTGTGTGCTCTTCCTGGATGGAATGAATAGCAAAGAAGCCAGAGGCTTTTATGCATGCAAGAAAGGCAGTCAGTGAAGATGTAAATTGAGGAGTCAGTGGGTGAGAGACAGGCTTGGGGGAAGAGGAATGAATGTAGCTGGTAAATAGTGGAGAGGTACCTGGGGAGTCAGATGTTTGGATTTATGATGTGTTATAACCTGCCTATGTCTATATTTAGTTCATGATTTTTTATATCCAGGAGGTTGATGAAGTGAAGTTCCTAGGCTTGTCTGTGAAAAGTATTTTGTAAATTCCTTTCGGGGATTAGAACTGAGAGTGGAGAGAGAGTGGTTTTCTTGTGAGAAATGTGCCCCCACATTTCCTGTCTTTGAATGCACACCAGAAATCTATTCTTCTGGTGTGCCGTTGTTGTTTGGTCTCTCCTACATATTTTCCATCAGGGCATGTGGTGCATTGGGTGAGATACATCTACACCTCCAGAAAAGTAATGTAAGATCCAGGAATGCTGATGGTTCAGTTGTGGGGTGCAGTAATTGTGGGGGTGATGGAGATATGTTGGCAGGTTTTACATTTCATGTCATGGCATGGTCTAGATCCATGTGATGTGTTTTGGGCCATGGGAAGTTTGCTTGCTTCTGGTGATGAGGTTAGCCAGGTTCATTGCTTGTTTGCAGGCTAGCATGGGTAGTTCTGGGAAGATCTCTTTGAGAATCTGGTCTCCTTCTTGTATAGGTTGCAATTGTTTGAGGATTTTTTGTATGGGTTTGAGGAAGGGGTGATATGTCATAACCAGTAGTGTGCAACTCGTGGGGGTTTTCCTTCTGTACTGCAGCAATCTTCATGTGGTATCCAGGTGGCTCTTTTAAATGTGTGATCTATCTTCCTGGAGGAGTGTCCTTGTAGAGTGAAAGCCTTTTTGAGATTAGTGAGGTGGCAATCCCAAGTGTTCTCCTCAATGGAAACTCAGTAGTATCTGAGGGCTTGGCTTGATATCACAGCTTTTCTTAGTGTGTTTAGGGTGATTGCTGGTTCTGTGTGTTGCTGCCGTGCACTGCAGCGGGGCGGGGTCCGGGGCCTTAGAAGGCCGTCAGGCGGGTACTTGTGATGCTTGGAGTGGAAATAATTAGGCGGACGCTTATTGGTTACAAAGCAAGATTATTTACTCACGCCGTCAAGGTGGTGAACAACGGAGGTCAGAGGTACTTGGTTAGTTACAGCTTAAGAGTTCGTAGGTCGGTCTGCATACGTGTTCGGAAATGGTCAGGCAGAAATGGTCGGGCCGGCAGTCATTGATTTACGTCTGAGATTGGGTCGAGACAGGGGGGAACTGACAAGTGATCAAATTGTCAGTTACTCTGACACGTATGTTCAGAGGTCTCCAAGGTGTGTACGGAGGTCTCCCCTTCTTCTTCGTCTTTGCAGAAGTGTATGTGGGTTTTATTTGTGTAATAGCCAATTGGTTTTCGCCACGTCATAAATTTAATTAGAATCACCAATTATATAGCGGTTTTCGCTAGGGTGTTATTTTAGGGCTACTCCCTGTATTACTCTGACCAGTTATAATGATTTATGTAAAGCACAGAAGGTTAAAGTTTCATTTCTGTTAGTGGTGCAGCAATAAATTTCTTTGTTGGCATGCATAGCAAAGGAGGCTGTTACTATCATTTTGTTAACCCTTAGTTAACCTAGTGCAAAATAAAACTGCTTTAAATAGAATCTCTTGCTTGTGGCATGGGCACTTACTTAATTGGGTTGTGACACTGTGCAGATATGCATGTTGGTCTGTGGGTTTCTGGTATAACATGGTTTGGATTTTACCATTCTGGATACTGATCATTGTGTCTAAAAGGGAGATGTTGGTGCTAGAGTATTCAAGAGATAGTTGGATGGAGGGGTGATGATAGTTGAATTTGATGGAACTCAATCAGAGATTGCAGGTTTTCAGTCTAAATGATGAAGATGTCATCAATATATCTTAAGTGTAGCAAGGGTTTGATGGTGCAGTCCTTGAGAAATTCTTCTTCCAGGTGGCTCATAAAAAGTTTGGCAGACTATGGGGCCATTTTGGTCCCTTGAACCTATACAAACCTATATGAAACCTACATGAAAATTCCCTCAAACCTATATGAAAAATCCTCAAACAATTGCAACCCATGCTAGAAGGAGACCCAATTCTTAAAGAGATCTTCCCAGAACTATCCATCCTAGCCTTCAAACAAGCACCAAACCTCACTAACCTCATCATCAGAAGCAAACTTCCTACAACACAAAACGCATTGAATGGATCCAGACCATGCCATGAAAAGAAATGCAAAACCTGCCAACATATCTCCACCACCCCCACAATTACTGCACCCTACAACAAGACCATCAACATTCCTGGATCTTACATTACATTTCTGGAGGTGCAGCTGTATCTCATCCAATGCACCAAAAGCCCTGATAGAAAATACACAGGAAAGACCAAACAACAACTGCGCACCAGAATGAATGCACACCAGAAATCTATTAAAGACAAAAATACTCAATTACCTGTGGGGGCACATTTCTCACAAGAAAACCACTCTCTCTGCACTCTCTCAGTTCTAATCCTCAAAGGGAATTTACAATACACTTTTAAAAAATGAGCCTAGGAACTTCATTTCATTCGACCTCCTGGATACAAAACATCATGGACTAAATATAGACATTGGATTTATGACACACTATAACCTGCCTAACATCTGACTCCCTGGGTACCTCTCCACTATTTACCAGCTACATTCATTCTTCTTCCTCCCCGCTTCCCCCAAGCCTATCTCTCACCCACTGACTCCTCAATTTACATCTTCACTGACTGCCTGTCTTGCATGCATACCAGCTTCTGGCTTCTTTGCTATTCATTCCATCCAGGAAGAGTGCACACCAACTGCAGATGCTTCCTCAGCCTGACAAAGGGTATTTAAATCCAAAAGCTTGCTAAAAAGAATTTTTCCAACTATATGAGTTGGTCTAATAAAAGATTTACCCAAGGAACCCTGTATGCCTATGTCCTTAGACCAGCATGACTACAACCTACACCTCTATTTACTGCTGTAATTTAAATTGCAGTGGTTATGATAATCTTTAAATAGTCGAGAGAAAAATCTATTGGGAAGTTGTAAATAAAAGTAACAGCAGTTTTGGCATGAAAGGGGTAATGTAGCATAAGGCCAAGTTAAACAGCACAGATGTGTATATGTGTATACACAGTATATGTAGATATGATCTGTAACTGAGTGCAGCTGACACTTGCATTAAAATTTTATGATTTTGTATTTTGAAGTATCTATTATTATGCAATTTTTCCAGCACCAAAAAAAATGTTCCTTGGCTGACCTAGCTGGGAAACCATTCTGCCCGATATAATTATTAGTGGTAATCATCATCATGGAAATACTGTGTGTGAACTGCATCTTTAAAGTAACAACTTGATACAGCCACTATCATCCCTGCAGGGACTTTTTTTAAAACTTATTTTTGCCACCCACCAATTTTCAGTGATATATCTGGATAAGGAGAAGTGACTGCTGCACTATTCAGTAGCAACAGGCCTTAAGAGCATCAGCGATGAAATTCTCAAGGGTCTTTATGTCCTGGGTGGAAATGGAATCATTACTGTATTTTTGAACTACTGCTAACGTCATTGACACCCACCTACAGTCAGTCCACTAGAAATATAAGTGGAGAGATCAGACTGTTCACAAATTACAGACAGACTAACCAGGAACAGGGCAAGTCAGAGACAAACTCATTGGTAAGTTTCATTTAAGGAGCGGGTGAAGAAGAGTGAATGTGTGTGTTGCATCAGTTTTTTATTTATTCCTATATATAATTGTTGTTTAGTATATCTTCTGCATTTAGCTTCCTTCTTCCAGTCTTTAAAATTTAACTAGCTGGGCTTCAAATTATATTCCTTCATATTCCAAATGGTACAAAAAGACATATCACTGTCACTAAACATTTGGCTATTTAGAGGATTTTTTTATATTGGAAGTCCAGAGCTAATCCTCCCTTTAAAGAAGTGATCTAGTGTCCTGATAACAGATTGCAGTGGTTGAAGCTTTGTTCCTCAAGGTGTGTTATAGCTAAGATGAACAAGAACAAACCCCACTCCAACCTAGTAGCTCCTCCTTGCCCTCCATTGATTATTTTTTATTTAAAATAATTTATTTGGATTAACATTTGCTTCATTTCTGAGTAGTGAAAGTTAAGTATGATTCATTAATCTGTTTGTTTTTTTTACCTCCCTATGTGCAGCCTGCTCCTCTCTTCAGTATGTGGAAAACAGTATTCCTGATTTTCTTCACTATGTTGACTCTGCGGGGCTTGGTAAAGGGGGCTCCTCTGAGACCAGAAGAAAAGTGGAAACCTTTGGACAACCCCAGGAACAGAGATCTGGTAAGGAAGCATTGCAGAATACACTGGAGAAAAGCCTAAGCTTTGTTTGCCTTTCACGTATTTATGTGCTTCTTTATAAGAATTACTAATTTCCCTTTTATAGTTAAAAAAAAAAAAAAAAATGTAAAGTGAAGTGGGCCCGTACTTCTGGGCTAATAATTCTGTACTTTGTACAGATCAAAATTATCAGCTACTTGAACATACTACAATTTAAACTCACCTTTTATCTAAGGAAACATTTTCAGTGTAATACACTGTACATTATAGTCTCTATATTAATCTAAAGTAAACATTAATTTTACAAGAGCTGTATTTTAATTTATAAAAATACAGTTTATGTTATCAAACAAAATAGCATGATTTGGTATTTTTCTTCTAATCCTGAATTTATGTATTTTGTGGACACAATACTGTTTGAGTTAAACGATGAACAATGGCGTTGAGTGTACTCATAAAGATCTGAAAGCCAACTAATTTACATCTAAGAATATTCAATTATTAAGGATCAAAAGTTCTGTTAAACAGATTTGAGCTGGCCCTTGTTCTGGTTGCTTAAGATGGATTTAATTATATGTAAAGCAAATTTTAGTTAGTATTTATTACAATGCATGTATGGTCTCCTAAACAAATGTAAAAATGGTTAATTATTAATCTATCTACTTCAGATGACTTTTAGGGAAAGGTTAAACAAAACTGTTCGGAAATCTGGGAGTACTTTAAATTGACTTTGGTGCAGGTGTCAGTGTGTGCCTTTTGTTAAAAAATAGTTGCAAATTTAGTAATCGGTTTCTTGAAAAAAACTGTAAGGAACACATCGGTTTGAAGGATTTCTAATACCGTAGTCTACTTAAATTTAATAACTTGGACGCAAACAGTGTGAAAAAGGAACTAATAAAAAGTGGGTTACCTGTAAGAACAGTTTAAATTGACCAAATCCATAATGTTTTAGAGATCTGAGGCATTACTGAAGTGCTTTGAAATGGTCTGATATAATTTTCCTAACATGGGAACCAAAAGCTGTTAAATATAATTGACTAGTACTTTGTGTCCAAAATATGCACACTGTGGATATACACGACTGAGGGTATTGGGAATGGGAAGAGCCTTGTTCCTCCAGTTTATCACTGGCTGATGGGTTGGTCTTTTTTTTTAACAGGTGTGTGCATCACAAGACACAAAAGGCCCAAAGGTCTGATTACACTTGGTCATAATGGAAGTGCCTTATTCCTCAAGTAGTTCCATTAATTTTAATGTCAGAATTTGGCAGGAATTGCTGCCTATTTAGCATGTCTCTGCAGAAGGGCCAAGAGTAAGTGCGCTGAGTGACTAAACTGCTATAAGGTGAAGCTCTTCCAGTTCAGGACTGAAGCAAATGATTGGGGTAGAGTAGAAAAGCCTGAACTGCTAGTGTGACCATGTTGGACCTGCTTGCAGATAAAATGGAGGATTTCATTCTACGTTTTCTCCATTCTTATCTAGCTCCTTCTACAACCATCATATTTACTCAGTCTTATTGGAAATTATTAATTTGGAGGTGTGTGGGGGCTATCCTTTTTCTAAATGGAAACTGTGTTCAGTTTTTCAGAACACTCCAAGCTTATTTTTCTGGGAGAGATCTCAGGAACTTTCCAGGAACTTTCTCTTTGAACAATGATGGATCAAAGCCTGTTACTTTCTACTCGGATCCCATTGCTTCTGCATTTGCAGATTATGAAGAAAGGAAAAATTCTTTCCCAAAGTATCTCAGAGGCTGAAAGAAACTGCTTAACAAGGTAACTATTAAAACCAAATAAACAAGACTAAAAACAAAATCCCAGTGGTGTTTTCAGTCGCATGTGATTACAGATTTGGATTCAGGTAATTTCCATATCTAAGTGAAGTATAACAAATTTTTTTTTGGTTAGAGATAAATGGCATTGTAACCCTTGGTCAAGATTGATTTAAGTGTATTTAGGTAGACACTTCTGTGGCTTTACTTACTTACTAGAATAAAAGGAGTATCTTTGATGAGAAGAAATATGAAGTCAGCTGTGTGTATAGTATTTCTGTTTGCCCTTCTTAGATTTCATATGCTTTTCCAGTTTAAAAAAAAAAAAAAAAAAGCTGGAAGATTACTGACTAGTAAAATGGGGGGAGGGGGAAGTGTTGCGAAAACAATTATAAACCTAGCACAACCTGCACTTCAAACTGATGTCAAATACCTCCCACGATCTGAGCACAGTAAGAAAAAAAGTCTAGATATAAAAATAGGAAAATATTATAGTAATAGACATTATTTTGTCATCTTAAGTATTTTTCTTATTTCTGCAATTACATTCTAAAGTTGCGGAAAAAGGTTAATACATATTTCATTATATCAGATATTAGCAACCTTTTACTAAGAGCGTGCAACAGATTCTAGCCCAGCTGCTCACCCCCTGCTGCAGTTCCAGCTGCCCCTGCCCTGTGTGGAGAGCTACTCTCTCACACCGCAATGCAGCCTCCAGTGAAAAATGTGCCACTGCAAAGCATGGCACACTGCAATTTGGAGTGGCTAATTTAGTGGTGATAGTAAGCAGAGACTGCAGTGGAGGCAAGAGAGCATCCCTCTGCACAGAGCAGGGAGACAGAGGTGGTAGCATGGGATCAGCCTGCTGTTTGTAAAAGCGAGTGAATGGGGTACTTGGGACTGCTAGGAGCAGCAGGTGATTGGTGCACTGTTAGTAAAACATCAGTCCAATCCAATCTCTTCACAAGTTGGATCCCGCCTTTGTACTTAACTATTGCTTAACATAAGAAATCTCAGAGTAGCTGGAGATACTGCAGGTACCTTTAAAGAAGCTTTTGCAGGCTGGCAATATGAGCATTTAAAAACAAAACAATTTTAATGTTTACATTTCCTGTGTTCAATTAGTTCTTTAAATTTCATAATCTTTCCACTCGGTCAGTCTTGAGGGCACATACAAGGTGCAGAGAACAGCAGAAGCAGTACCTTTCCAGCGTATGTGCGGACAGGGTACTGGGCATCACAGAGATATACTTCACAGGAGTCGCTTGCCTAATGTTCTGCATGTTCAGAGCATAGAGTAAAACAGTGGCAGATCCCAGGGAGGAGTGGCCACAAGCAAAGGAAAACCAATCCAGTCACAGTGGCTCTACTGCCACTCCATGGCTTCAGGACAGGAGGAATCTGTCCCTTACTTTTACCCCTACAACAAAGATTGTGTTCCCATTAAAGAAAAAGAATGTTAATTGCTTTCTTAACAGAGAATATGCTAATAACTTTTTATTAAGTCACAAATGTAAAGTCCATTAAGGTCTGTAAAAGTCAGCAGGACTATGAATGTCAGTTGGTATCATTGGCCTTAGGATAATGCTCCACGGGAATTTACATATTTTTGCTTTAATATGCTTAGTCTTACTATACTTTTTTCTTTTAGGTGATTACTTGGACTTCAGGTGAACTTGAAGAATACTTGGCAAAATATGACTACCTTGGGCTTTTTAACTATTATCTGACTTTTTCAGCATACCAGATTTACATACACAAGTCTCACATCTGGCTGTAACTGCCACACTTTCTTATTTTTAGCTAGTAGGGGACATAGGACCAAAGTTTGTCTTACAGAATTTTACTTGTTTAAATGTAAATAAATGAAAAGTTCAGTCCAACTAGTGTTTGCAACTGATCTCAAATACCTTTTCAAGGAATGTAAATAAATGTTATCTTTATTATAACTAAGTTCTAGAAAACTTTTCCTGAATGGAATTCTAGTGAGAATATTTCCTCACAATTCTTTATATTGTGTTTGGTGGAACTTTTAACAAAACTGAGCTTCAATTGTTACAGAAACTTACAGAAACCTGCCTGTCTATTCTGTGATGGTACAGAACCTCCCACAATGGGTCCCGGGTTCAGGACTGGGGTCACTATAATACAAATAATGAACAAACTTTGACACACAAAAACAAAGATATACTAATCTAATGTGAGACTGGAAGGCAACTTGGGTCACAGTAACTATGAAATGATAGAAGTTAAACTTCTAAGGGGAGGAAGGAAGGAGAGCAGCAGAATAAGGACACTGCACTTCAGAAAAGCAGGCTTGAACAAATTCTGGGAACGGGGGGGTAGGATCTCCTGCAAGGCATGTCTGAGCAGATAGGAATCCAGGAGAGCTGGCTGTACTTTAAGAACGACTTTTTACAAGGGCACAGGAGCAAGCTATCCCAATGAGATGGAAGAATGGAAGTGCACCAGGAGACCAGCCTGGCTAGACAGCAATCTGTTTAAGGGGTTGAAACACAAAAAGCATGAATGACATGTGCCCCTGGCAGCTGCAGGGGTGGGGCACGGCAGCACTGGGAGAGTGGTGGCAGTAAGCAGGGGATTTTTGTAGGGGGTGCATGTGCACCCCCTACGCATCACCACTGACAAAAGATAATCCTATAAAAAGTGGAAACTTGATCATAGTATTAGGGAAAGTTATAAGATTATCAGATATGCATGCAGAGAGAAAATGAGGAAGGTTAAGGCACAATTTGAGATGCAACTGGTAAGGAACATCAATGGCAATAAAAAGAGATTCTATAAATATATGAAAAGTAAGAGGAAGACCAGATAAACCAGAGGCTCCTTACAGAATGTGAAAGGCAATCTAGTTACAGGAGATGCAGAGAAGACTGAAGTTTTTAATGCTGCTTTTACTTCAGTCTTCATAAATAGGGGCAGCTACCAGATGATGGGTGCAGTTGGCAGCTAAGATAGGGAAGTTGACAAACAGCCTAGAGTAATAAAAGAACAGATTACAGGTTACTTAGAAAAGCTGAATGCTTTCAAATCATTAGGACCAGATAGGATGCATCCAAGGGTACTGAGGGAATTAGCTGAGGTAATTTCAGAGCTACTATCTTCTTTGAGAATTTGTGGAGGTTGAGTTAAGGTCCTGGATGATTAGAAAAGGGCAAGTATAACACTCATCTTTAAGAAAGGGAAGAGGGAGGATCTGGGGAATTACAGACTAGTCAGTTTGACTTTGGTATGTGGAAAGACAAGAGAGCAGGTTCTCAAGGAATCTCCTGTGAAGCCCCTAGAGGAGACCAAGATGATCAGGAGCAGCCAGCATGTATTCACCAAATGAAAGTCATGCTTGACCAACCTGATTTCCTTTTATAAGCTGATAGGTTCTATGAATGAGAGGACAGCAGTGGATGCAATACACTTTGACTTTAGCAAGGCTTTTCACATTCCCATGACATTCTCATTAACAAGTTAAGGAAATACAAAGTAGACAAAAATAGTGTAAGGTGGATACATAACTGTCTGGACGATCATACTCAACAAGTAGTCATCAATGGCTCAATGTCTATTTGGGAGGAGGAATCAATGGGGTTCCTCAGGGAGCTGTCCTGGGTTTGGTATTGTTTAACATCTTCATTAACCATGTGGATAGTGGGACTGAGTGCACATTTAGCAAATCTGTGGATGATACCAAGTTGAGAAGATTTGCAGATACTCTGAAACATAGGGCTAAAAAAGGCCTAGATAGACTGGAGAAATGGCCTGCAATCAATTGGATGATATTCTAAAAGGACAAGTGCAAAGTCCTGCATGTGGGTCAGAATAACCACATGCACAAATACAGACTCAGGAATGACTGGCTAGGCTGCAGTACAGCAGAGAAGGGTACAGTACATGGCAAGATAAATATAAGCCCACAATGTGCTCTTGTTGCAAAAAAAAAAGCTGACAGCATTCTGGGTTGTATTAACAAGAGTGTCACTGGGTAATCAGGGGAAGTGACTCTTCCACTCCATTCAGTACTGAGGAGACCTCACCTGGAGTACTGTGTCCAGTTTTGGGCCCCATGCTTCAAGAAGGATGTGGACAGTTTGGAAAGAGTCCAGTGCAAACCAGCAAAAATGATTAAGGGTCTAGGAGGCAAGACTTCTGAAGATAGGCAGAAAGAACTAGAGTAATTTAGTTTGGAAAAAGAATATTGAGAAGGGATTTGATGAGTTTTCAAATACCTGGAGGGTGATAACGGAAAGAATGGAAATGGGCTTTTCTCTGTGGCTGAGGGGACAGTACTAGGAGCAATGGCCTCAAACTTCAAGAGGCGTAATTTAAGTTGGAGACTTGGAGGGAATTTCTGACTATGAGGGTGGTAAAGCATTGGAACAAGCTACCTAGAGAAATTGTGGTTTTTCCATCCTTGGAAGTTTTTAAAAGCAGGTTAGACAGGCACTTGTCTGGGATGGTTTATTATCAAGGATGATCCTGCCTTGAGCAAAGGACTGAACTAAATGACCTTGTAAGCAGTGGTGACGTGTAGGGGGTGCATGGGGGTACATGTGCACCCGCTTAGAGCGCTGGTGCACCCCCTCACAGGGGAGTTCCTTGCTTAGACGACAGGCAGGCAGGAGTGCTGATGCCCCGCCTGAGAGCCCTGGCTGGGGAGTGGGGGTGCCAGAAGTGCTGCTGGCACTTCCAGGTGCGTCCCTGGCCCTTCTGGGCATCCCGCTGGCACTTCTGGGCAGCGTTCCCTCTTAGAGTCAGCTTAGAGGAAATGCTGCTTCCGGGTTGGTGCGTGCGACCAGCTGTGGGGGACCCCCCGGTTGCTGACTGGCTGCTGTGGGGGCAAGTGCCCCCCTGACTCAGGAGGCACCAGTTGCCCATGCTTGTAAGGCCCCTTCCAAGCCTACTTTCCTATGATAAAAATGTTTAGGAAATGTATTGAGGTCATCCTGTCAGGAACTTTTGCATTTATGTTAGCAGTTACTTTTTACTAGGAGAGCAAGGAAGGCCTTATTTGTGCTTATCTCCAAGAACATGAAGAGCCCCATTAACTCCAGTTAAAAGATGAAATCCTGACCTCTTTGAACCATAGCCAAAACCTTTTTGACTTAGAATCAGCGTCTTAGCAGATGTGTGAAAGGGTAAGCACGTGCATAAGTCTTTGTAGAATCGAGGCCTGAGATTTTTTCCTTTGTTTTCAGAGTGGGAATTGAATAAGAAGGTAAGATTTCTATGACTGATTTAATATTGACATTGTGATTACTGTAGGCCACTGGTTTCAACAGATAGTTCTCACACACCTAAGCTAGCTGTTACTGGTTGAAGAGCTTTCATTTGATGAATTAGCACATGGTAATAGTCTGGATGCAGCCAGACTGTGTAATGCAGCCCTGATTAACGAACAGGCAAGTAACTAGCATATTTCGAAGTGCCTGGATACATTAATGTCAGCTCAACATTTGGGATGCTGGAGAGGAGCAAGGAAAAACCCTGGTTATACACAGCGTGCCAGGCAAGATGGACCTACAGCAGGGGTAGGCAACCCCCAGCCTGGCTGCCGGAGTGAGAGACAGGCATTTTGCTTGGCACACCTGCCTCGAGGTGGAAGGTGGGGAAGGCCCCTTGCAGCTTTCCCACCGTCTGCCCCTGACACCAACATCTTACAAGTGGAGGTTGTGGATGTTTTGGGCACTCTGCCCAAAGGTGTTGCCGACCCCTGACCTATGGCCTGACTCAGCAAATGATCCGTGTGCTCAGGGCCGGGACTTGTCTTTGCTGCACCGGGCAGATGCTCTGGAAGTGGCCGCGGCTCTGGCCCCGCCAGGTCCCGGACACGGGGCTCCCGCCTCGAGATCCACCAGCTTGCTTTTTTTTTTCTTTCTTTCTTTCTTTCTTTCTCCTCTTTTCTTTTCACCAAATTGTAAGAGGAACAGCAGGTGCCTGGCCTGGCCTGCAAGGAATCGGTGGTCAGACAGCTGCTAAATGTTAATGTACTGCTGAAATAGGAAAAATATAGACAGCATAAAATACTGCTGTCTTCCGCGCTTCTCGCCCTCACTCGTTAGATGTTCAATTATGCATCTGGCTGTGGTGTTTGTGTGTGTGGCCTCCGCCCCCGCCCCCGCCCCCGCGGCCCTGGGCCCTGCGCGGAACCGTGGCGCGG